CATTTTCCATGGCAGAAGCCCAGATTTATGCAATGTTTATGCACAGTGGAAGTTCTCTGTGTAACCGAGCAGAGATCTGGGCTCAGCTCTGTGCTTAGTGACAAAAGGGAATACTGTGGCCAGACATCTTTTTCTTCCATAGACCCTTGGTCCCTGCATACATTCTCAGAGTTTCTTGAAGACAGAAAACACACATAAACCCCTTTGTACCTCAATGTATGGCACACAATAGGGTTAAAGAGGATAAGATGATTAAGAGAAAATCTCTGTACCATCGTTTTATCTTTCTTCCAATTGTAGCAATTCTGCTCTGCCTCAAGCCTGCATGTACCACTCAGCAAAATCAAAGCTCTGTATGATTAACCACAGCTTCAGAAGCCAATGGTGGGCTGCTAGGGGTCAGAATCTACTTGCTGGCAGTGGAGTTTTGGGGGGAGGGGGAGGTTTACCCTTATTGAAGGCAGTTTATTGTATTTTCACACACAATATGCCTATATAAATGGCATGTGAGTTCATATAATGCATATAGTCCTCAGAAGAAATGATGGTATCCATGGGGTTATACTGTAGATATCAGTCCTTTCTTCTGTCAAGTGGAGATAATAGCAATTCTCACACCAAAGGGTTTAATAAATTAGATAACCAATGATTTGGGCTGGACCCAGGAAAGATTTTTCCCCCCCTTAAGGACATCCAGGTGACCTCATTATATACACTGACTTAAAACTGCTTTTTGTCTTACCTGACTGAGCACAGCTTCCTTCTGAACATTTCACACCCAAGCCCATTCCTGCAAATAGAAACGTCCCCATTCTGAGAGACACAGCTGCCGGTGCAGCCTGAGTCCCCAGGCTTTCTCTGCATCAGCCGTTTCCAGACAGAGAATGCCAGAGCCCCCAAGGCCTTCTAAAATCCAAAGCATTTGCACAGTGCGCTGGGTTCTAAGCAACAGAAAACCCGACTCAGGTTCATTTAAGCAAGAAGGGGGATTTACTGGCTCATCTAACACAAAATTGTAGAGACAGATGCAGCTGCAGGAAAGGCTTGATCTTGTACTGAAATCAGGTTACAAAGGCCCTCGTTTTTTTCTGCGACTTGACCCCCGTTTCAGCTGTGCAGCTTGAAGCTAAGTAGTTTACCTTTGTGGTCCCAAGATGGCCACCGTCAAGATCCAAGGTTATTTACTTCCTCTCTATTCAGTGGGCAGATTAAAAGGAGTGTCTTTCCCCAGCATTTCCAGTTCTGCCTCAGGTCACCACACTTAAATCAATCACTGTTGCCAGAGCAATGGAGTGTGCTGACTGGTTCAGACGAACTGTCCCAACCTTAACCTTAGTGAGTCAATTCCCTTAGACTATAAAAACTCCCCCAACAGAAATCAAGGGCTGTTGGAAAAGGAGATGGGACAACAGATATGAGAGATATAACCAGCTCCATCCACCACTTCTTGCAATGTACAGATGGGAAACTGAGGCTAGAGAAGAAAAAACTTCCGTCCACGATCACCAAGCAGAGCTGGAACCATAACCCACACTCTGAAGACCCTGATTTTTTTTTAATCATAATCCAGACTTCCATCTGAAGACCCTGAATTCCCCCTCCCATCCCCCCTCTACACATTTCTTACTTTGTCAGGTATAACTCACCCAATACCAAGTGGTAATCAATGTGAGGTCAGGTCAATCGATCTCTCTCCAAATCTAAATGCTCTGGAGAAGCCATCTTGGCTTGAACCTCCAATGAGTTTCCAGTTAAAAGAAAACCAACCTGTGACCCAAAAACTCTTGCAGGTGTAAGGATCAATCAACCTTGGCACTCCCTGGTTCCCTCTTGGGGCCCCCTAAGAACCAAGTAGCTCCTGCTACTTTTAAGGAGAAAAATGCATTCTGGTGTGCAAACATCATCGCATATTCATGCACTCCAAATCTAATTTTAGCTGCAAGAGACTTCATTATAAGATGCTCACATAATTAAGCAGCTTCTTCCCAGGGTTTGGAAGCCTGTCTATTCTTCTCTCTCATTTACACATCACTGGGATTATCAGTGTGTTTTAGGTCTTTAAAATGATATATTTTGAGTTTTCCAAATTGATCCACAACGGGAGATGATATCCATGAAAATGACATGTTTTAACACAGGTTTGTGTTAACTCCATAGCCCTGCGATTAGGCTTGGAGTCTGTAGAGACAGTTGGAGTTTTGCTGTTCTGTTCTAATTGGCTCCTGATGCATTTGCTACACTTCTTCACGAAACACAGATTTGCCTTTCCTCCTGCCCTGGCTGGGACAGCACCGTTTCTTGACAGCGACAGATGAAATCCAAGTTGGAGAGGAACAAATGGGCTTGTCTAGGAGGATTTCTAGGTCCCCTTTCCTAATCTGGGATGAAAGGCAGACAGGAGATGAAGGCTGCATCTGCATTCTCTGGACCATCAGGGCCAAGTGCCAAGTGGGGTAATGACTGATGTGAATGGACCCCGGCCTCATCATTCTGTTTATCTGTACTTGTAAGGTGCACGGTGGACTAAAAAGCTGATTTGAGAGGTTTGTATGGACTTTGGTACCTCTGACCATATCAACCCCTCATCAGGAGGAAGAGTCTGGGACTCTTGCTCTCTTGAGCCCTGGGTGGCAGGAGGAGTATCAGAGGCCTTCCCCATCCTCCAGCCACACCCTTCCAGTCTCCATGGTTTCTAATTCTTCTCCTCTCAAAATAATCCTGAGAGTGAGGCCCAGAGTCAGGGAGCCAACCTCGTGATGAGACATAGTGCTCGGTCCCCCACCTACCTTGTTCCTGCTTTGTGGAGGAAGCCGTTTGGTCTGTGGTGTCATTGTTTCTCCATCCCCTCTAAAGCAGTGTGGGTTCCTGGGCAAGTGTCCACTGTCCGTCACTCAAGAGACACATCGGGGTCTCTGCTGACATAACTGTAAAGCTGTCCCGCACCGTAAACACTTCCTAGGCTCTTAGCTTTGAGCTTATTGAGGTTATATGGGAGGGTTGAAAAGAGCTCCAGTGTGTTTGTGGATTTCTCCCTGAAAGAGGCCCCCAGGGGCACAGAAATGCAAATTCACCTACCGGCAAATGGAAGGCTAAAGGAAGCTGCTGAGGAGGGGCAGCCCCCTGGACCCCACCCCAATGGTGCTCCCTGGGCCAGAGAGCAGAGGATGGGGAATGGGCGCCAATGCAAAAGACCCCTATATGCCATCTGCTTGTCTTCTCCTGGAGCAGCTTGACTCAGGTGGGTGAGTCTTTCTTTGGTCTTCTGAGGAGAAGGACTCAGGGTTGTTCATCTCTCTCTGCTCTCCCAGGTTATCATGCAAGCTGAGCTGCTCAGCACAGGCTCTGTGCCTCTGCCACTGGAGCCTGCTCCCAGGTCACACCCCTGTCCTGCACACCTGAGCCTTCTGGTCACTAAGGCCTCATTTCTGCTAAAGATGGCAATTAACATCCAGCAGGTAATGAGCATCTCAGGCCTGAGAGTTAGGATGAGCTTTAAATGGCTAAAGGGCACAGCCCCCTTCTCTACCTCCATCTTTACCCATCCACCCCTCTCCTCCACTACAGTCTCCATCCATCTTTCACTTTTGACCTCCAGACCCCTGAGCCTTTGGAGATTGTGTTTTGCCACAAGGCTCCTCTCCCTCCTCCAGAACAGTGTCTGGATTGTGAGACGCAGTTCTTAGCTACCCTGATGTACTCGCCGCGCAGCCCCAGTGGGCTGGCTGAGCCTGCAAAGCAAGCCTTTATCTTTACGATATTGTTTTCCCCCAACTCCACTGGGCTGTTCCTGCAGAGGCAGGAGGCCTTTTAAGTCCCTCCACCTCCATGGCCAGCCAGTGAACAGCATCAGCATCTGTTAGTGCCCCTGCCTGGCCTTTAGGAGAGGAAATGGATGGACACGTGGGAAAGATGTCAACTGCCAAGAGAAACAGGTGTAGCACAATGACCAAGTGTCCAAGCAAAGACGGCACGCAGTGGTGGAGTGACCACCAGAAAACAGCTGGGGCCTGGCCGCTGGACATTGTTCGGGCTGAGGAAATGCAACCCCACTTCCCCACGAGCTGGTATCCATCTCTGGCTCCTCCCAGGTCTGCACAGGGACTCAACAGAGCAGGAGCCTGTTGACATGGAGAGTGGAACTAGACAGTCAGCTCAGAAACAATCCCTCCCCATGCCCACCCTAAGCCATCTCTGATGGTGTATGCATTCTTTGCAAGGGTTCTCTCAGAGACCCAACTCTTGCCCTATTATTCCCTTCAGTCTCTTATCCTGCTTCCGAGACATGGTATGAACCCACTTTCCTTGGGAAAGTCAGAGAAGCACCTTGGCAAGCAAGCACACTTCAAAAGTGGGGAGGAGTGTCGATGGGCTGTAGAGAACATGTAACAGGCGGGCCTAGGGTTAGGGTATATATGTGGAGGGTCCCTTTCCCGAGGCATTGTCAGCCCACCCACAGAGAAGGAGGCAGGTCTGCAGTAACCACACTGCACACATTTATGGACGCTGGACACGCAGACAGAGCCGCCTGGCCTGGCAGCAGCAGTCTATGACCCCCCCACCTCCAGACCAAGAGAGTCCTCGCTTCTCAGAGCACAGAGCTGCCCAGCCCAGTGGCTCCAAGTCCAGGAGTGGAGGCTCCTTCAGATCAGAAGGTCCCCAAGAGTGAGCCTGGGGCACGTGTGTCTGTGTGTGAGAACAGCAACTAAGTATGCGTAGGTGGGACTTTGTGAGGCTGGAAGCGGTCACTCTGTGTGAACTCCCAGCTGCGTCCACATGGGCATGGTGAGCATGGGAAGGCATGTCCGTCTGTGACAGTGGGCACTTGTGCGTCTGCTGTGTGAAGCACGCCTGCAGGTGTGAAGCTGAGGGCTGCGTTGGGTCTCCTGGGCCTTGAGACGGCCTCTGGTATCGTCCTCTGTTGAGCTGTGCAGACGCCACTGCATGTCCTCACAGGGCCAGCCTCCGAGTGAGCTCGCAGCCAGTACCGTGCCCACGTCCTGGCAGGGGTGGCGCTGTACACCTGTCATCTGGGCACGTACTCCTGGGGCAGGCCGGCCCAGTTGTGCTCACGCAGGGCCTTGTCCACCGTCCGGATGTAGCCGTTGATCAGGTCCTTCATCTCCGGCGTGAAGGGCTCAGGGTCGTAGGGGCGCCGTCCACGACGTCGGAAGCTGCCCTCCTTGTTGTTCTCCACGCAGAGCAGCCGCTCCTCGCTCACGGACACGTTGAGGAAGGCCACCATCTCCCGCAGTGTGGGCACCAGGCTGCGTCGCAGCTCCTCGTAGTGGACCACCAGCAGCCGCTTACCATACTTGAGCCAGTCCAGCACGTGCGAGGACCACCACGACGCGTAGTTGTTGACAAAGTCCGGCCACTCTGGGGAGGGGGAGAGGGACAGAGGTCAGGGGCGGCCAGGGTATCCCACTGCCTGCTGCCCAGGACCACTGCACCTGGAATCCCCTTCAAAAAGACACGTGGCGTGGGGGGGAGTGTGAGTTGAGGGTCGACACCAGGCTCTGCAGAGGCCTGGGTCAGCCCGGAAGATGGTGACCCCGGTCTGCCTTCCCACAGCAGCATGTCCGTGGAAACACCAAGCAAAGACAAACACAGAACGCTGCATGCTAAGAAGTGGTCCCGCCACCTTTTCTACTATGAAACCCTTGAGCCTCAGAACCTGGACTGAAAAGGGATCCTGGTAGCTGTCTCCTGGGTCTCGGGCCTCTGTGATATGGATGGAGAGGAAAAAAAGCCCAGAGGGAAACCAAGCCAGTGGTTACGCTGTCAAGAGGACCACATACACCTTTATCTTGAACCTGGCAACCATCCACATACATCCAGTGTGTGTGACCGGGAGTCTGAGAAGTGTGGGCACAGCTGCTGTTTCCTGCCCTGCATCGTCCTCTAAAGCAGGCCTCAAGTATGCAGGTGGAGATCACTGCTGACTTAAGTCCATCCAGAGATGCCTCAGAAAAAAGGCCTGGAGACCCATTGTGAAAAACCAGCCACGGAAAACCCCATGGAGTACAGCTCTGCTCTGAAGCACAGGGCATCACCTGGCACAACTGATTGTTATATCTCTTTAAGTGAATAATGCTAACTATGTCTTGGATGTTTGATTGTGATCTGGAACCCATGACACGGCCTGGGGTAAGGCACAGAGTGACATCACAGGCCAATGCAGCCGAAGTCCCCACAGATGATCCACTCAGGGACCTATTCATCCAGCTGTCATGGTCCTGAACCTGGCCTATGACAAGGCCCCTTTGGAGGACAGAGGCCATGAGGTTCCCCCCTCCTCTACCCAGGGCAGCAGACTGGTCAAATATCATCCTAACCAAACACTGCTTCCAGAATTGGGCTATTAATATATTACAAGTACAGTGGGAGACATTTATTTCCATTTAATCTTACCAGAAGCCTATGTGCTATGTTGTTATTTACAGGCAAGTTGGACTTGACGCGTATCTGACCCTCCAGCGAGTGTTCAGAGGCTGTGAATTACGTGGGAGGAGATTTTGCCAATTTTGGTGCCTCGGAGCAGCTGGTGGATTTGAACTATGAACCTTTGGGTTGGTAGTGCAGTTTCTTACTACTGTATCACTAGAGCTCCCTAAGCCTATGGGATAATGTTATGAATTAAATTGTGCTGGGAGAACATCCTAGACAAGAGTGGGGGAAAAATATAAAAGAAAATGGAAAAAAACCAACAAAATTCCCCAACACCATGAAAGTAGCCAAGCTTACTATTCTGGTAGTGACTGGCAGAAGCACTGAGAATATGGCACTCAGTCACCCCTTGAGCCTGAAATGAAAGTCCCCCTGTGACTCAACTTTCCGACAGCAGACAGGCTTATGTGGGGCCAGTGACACCAGGCAGTCCTTTGGAAAAAAATCAACCAAAAAAAGTAAAAAAGGTAGCATTTGTCCAGGGATAAAGCAGAAAGGGCAAGAAAGGATAGAAGAAGGACTAGAGGAAACAGAATCATCGGGAAGAAGCAGGAAATGTGTACTTACAACGTGGGAATCATATTCTATGTCAGAAACCAAAGTGTGCTATGAATGGCTGAATGGAAAACCAGTTCCCATTCATATAAACTTGCACTCAAATCACACATTCGTATTCTCATTCTCATTTTCTCTCTCTCTCCCTGTCTGTCTGTCTCTCTCCTCTCTTTCCCTCTCTCCGTAATTTCTTCAAAAAGCCATGCTGCAAATTCTAATCCCTATCCCTGTAGATGTAATCTCATTTGGGAACAGGGGTTTGCTATGTTAATGAGGCCATTATAGAGTATGTTGTAAAGCAATAGATTTTAAGGCACAAAAAGGGCAAAGTAAGCACTGATGGACAGAAGCAAAAACAGACATTACGTGAAGTACAACAAACACCAAGAAAAATGCTAGAGCCCAGAGACAAGCGTTTGTGCCCAGAAGGCCCAGGATGTGGGCTTCCCCCTTCTAAACTGTGAGAAAATAAAATTCTGTTCTTTAAAACCACTCACTTCTGATATCTGTGTCAGAGAAACTTTGAGAAAGTTAAGGTGTTGTTAGGTGCCCTTGAATCAAGTATGACACACAGTGACCCTATGAAATAGAGATCTGAACCCTGTCTTATCCTGTGCCAAGTCTCTAACATACTCAAGTCCTTTGCTGCAGTGACTGTGTTAATACACTTGGTTGAAGGTCTTCCTCTACTCTCTCCCTACCTTTCCAAGCATGATGTCCCTCTCCAAGAAATAGCTTCTCTTAGCAACATGTTCAAAGTATGTGAGACAAAGCTTCGCCATCCTTGCCTCCAAAGAGCACTCTGGCTGCATCTTCTCCAAGACATATCTGTTTGTTTCCTTGGCCGTCCATGGGTTATTCCATACTCTTCCCTAGCACCACACTCAAAGGTGCCATTTTTTCTTCTGTCATCCTTATTCATTGTCCAGCTTTCAGATACATATAGCAAGCGACTGAAAAGACCATGGTCTGATTCAGGTGCACTTTAGCCTTCAAACCAAAATCATTGTTCCTCAGAAATTTAAGAGAGGTCCTTGACTGCAGACTTTCCCAGTGTAATAGATGCCCTGATCTCCTGACTGCTGGTATCTGGTGTTTAGACTGTGGATCCAAGTAAGATGACGTCATTAACGATTTCACTCCATCTACCGTGATGTTGTCTATTGGTCCAGTGCTATCCTGGTTTGTAAGATAAGCAAACTAATAACGTTCTGGAAGATGTGACACCTTATCCAGAGTCTCACGGCATCAGAGCCTCCCTGGTGGAGACATCAGAGCCCAGCTCTGATAAGAGCCCCCTATACATTTCCTGAAGTCCTAACAGGTTTCCTGTGCCTTCCCACAAGGGGAGCTGACAGGAGGGGCTGGCCGAGGCTGAGGATAATGCAGAAAGGGGCTTGGAAGACCATCAGGGACCCTCATTTGTCTCAGTTCTTCTAAAATCAAGATTGGACAGAAGAACAAGGTTTCCTGGCCACGAGGGTCCCATGCCGTCTCTTCTCTCTATTCAACCTGCCTGGCTGTATTTTGTTTCTGATTCATTCTCCCTTCATGCATCACACTATCATTTTCTATTATTCATTGCCCAAAGGCGAGACCAGGTGCCTTGAGGGCCAAGGCGAGTGCTTCCTTGCCTGGGTCTTCCATGTCTTGCACACAGTAGGCCTTTTGTTAGTGTGTGCCAGCAGGCTGAATGAAGTTACAATTCACAGAGGAACCACATTGACTCAGAAATGTTGGGTTCAAGTCCAGGTCTGGGCACATACATGCCCGGGTCACCTTGGACGGGCCATGAGGCTGGGCTCTCCATGCCTCTACTTCTCTCACCTGGGAGGTAGGAGTGGTGATGATTACCCAGCAGGGTGGGGCAGATGGTCAGTGAGAAGCAGCCTAATCAGAACAAGCTGCCATCAAGCTGACTGTCTCAGGGTGACCCCAGACCCTATGTGTGTCAGAAGAGAAGGGTGCTCCATATGGTTCCCATGGAAATCCGATCACCAGGACATGCTTCTGGGTGGACTGGAACCTCTAACCTTCTGATTAGGAGCTGAGGACATTAACCATCTGACCCCCAAAAGCCAGTTAGTTAGGAGACAAGCACACTGAGTGCTGGACACAGTAATCTCACTGATCCAGATGCCCCCATGACATGTCCCACTGTGGTCACTGTCCACTGTGGTCATTGCCAGATTCCACTGAATGAGGAACCTGGTCCTGGGATGTGGGGGGTCAGAGGGCAGGTGATGTTTTAAAACTAGCCCAATCTTTGGTGCAAAGTCTGTGATCTTCTCAGAGCTCTACATGAACTCCTGAGGGTGAGGAGGAAAGGAAAGATTCCCCCCACCTTGGATAACAGAGGAGATTCCACATGAAACACCATGCTGTCTGAACTTGAGCGGTGTGGCTGTGCACAGGAGTTGCATGTTAGTGATCCAGAGACGGTGTGGCTGGAGGCTGGAGCCTACCTTCCAGCAGCCACCACCTTCTGCTGCCCTAGGGGCCCAGGAAGGGGAGACAGTGAGCCACAGTGGCAACAGGTCCACAAGAGGAAGGGCGAGTGCTCACTTGAGTGGACTGTCCCTGTGTCCCCAAGTGTCCTCTTCTGCTCTGATGAGACTTCCACCCGATGAGCCTCCCCCACTTACCTTTGCTCTTCCAGTTTCGGTCGGCAGCATAGCCCAGGTGCCCCGCACACTTCCTGTTGAATTCGGCCACCAGGGACCTGTAGGGGTTCCGGATGAGCAGGATGGCAGAGTCAAACATCTCAATCTCCCTCCTGCCACTCTCGTGGGTCTTTACGCAGATGGTGCGCCGGCTCCGCCAGTGGTCCTTCTCGCCCTTGAACCCTGCCGGGGAGAGATGAGAGGGCCCTTTGTAGAAGGGTGGCGGACAGGTCTAAGCACTCACTGGTTTGCAACCTTGAGGGAGAGACTATGACAGGCATATGGAGGCCCACTGAGGTGGCCCCTCTCCAAGAGAAAGGAAGAGCAGGAGGCATCTAAGAGCAGGTCTTCGCAACAGAAAGGAAATAAGGCACTTCCTGTAGACATCAGAGGTCGGGAAGCAGTTAGCCACGCTCCCTTCACAGACACTGGAGATGTATACCTTCAGGGAATTTTCATAGTCGTCATTTCACATGAGCCTTAAAAATAACCAAAGCTGCAGCCATAGTAAGATGATGAGGCTGAGGGTCAGAGTGGGTGTGCTGCTTGTCTAATATTGCACAGCATCATTGCAACTGTACCAAAGCTCTCTCCACCTGGCGTCAGGTCTCCTGCCCACCCACTTCCCTACCCTGGGATTAGGATCCCTACAACCAGGATTTTTTTTTCAGTTCAACAGACATTAGAATATATACTTCTACAAAGCCAGTATATCACATGTTGCATAAGCCAGTGCATTAGGGTGGCTTTTGAGGTCTACTTAAGCTATTTTCCCCCCAGTCATTCATTGTTGTACTTTTCTCCCTGCCCACCCCCTCCCCCCTGCAATTCACTCTTCTCCTTGAAAAGAAAAAAGAAAAACTCTTTCATTGCTATGCAATCCCTCCCCTCAGTTCCACCCCACTATTCAGCCATCACTCTGGACTCCTGTAATGACAAGAATACCCATTCATATATCTCTTTTAAACAGTTCTCTCCCTCATCTGTTTCAATGCAATATACATCATTCCTCCCCTACTTTTCTGTCTCACTCAACCCTGACATCAGTCCCATTTTACAACAGTGGCCCTATGCAATATATGTCCTTTTTTAATGGAGATATTTCACTCAGCATAATGTCCTCCAGGGTCATCCATTTTGCATAATATTTCATGAGTTCCTTGTTTTTCAGTGCAGCGTAGTATTCTATTGTGTGAATATACCAGAGCTTCTCTATCCATTTGTTTGTTGATGGGCACTTGGGTTGTTTCCAGCTCTTTGTTATTGCAAACAAAGCCATAATAAACATGGGTGTGCATATTGTGCTTGGGTGGTAGTTATGGTTTCTTTAGGGTAAATTCCCAGTAGTGGAATTGCTGGGTCAAATGGTATTTCTATTTGCACCTTCTTGAGAACGCACCATACAGCCTTCCATAGTGGTTGCACCATTTTACATTCCCACCAACAGTGAATAAGAGTTCCAGTTTCTCCACAACCTCGCCAGCATTTGATGTTTGCTGTTCTGTTAAGTTTTGTTATTCTTACTGGGGTGAGATGGTATCTCATAGCTGTTTTGATTCAACCAGGATTTAAGTAGCTCCAACCTCTCTCTGGTCTTAAACCATGGTCCTTTAACAGGGACCCACTTGCATATGAGATGGTGCTCAACCTTGGGTCTCAGAGTTGCTCTGGCCAGGATCTCAGTGGTCCATGGCCCAGTGTCTATGAACAGAGTTTCACTCCTATTGATCAACCTACTTGAGATGTGTCCCCCCCTTTTTGGATCCATCAGGACAGTACTGGGTATTGAGAACCCACATGACTATTCCACTTATCCCTCCAACCACTGAGCCACACATTTATTTATCATCAGATTATTATGTGAGTACTCTACGTCAGACACTTGATGATGAAGTGGGATGTTAACCGGAAGGTCAGCAGTATGAACTTTTGCAGGTGAAAAGACATGGGGCTCTGCTATGGGGCCACTGTGAGTCATAATTAACACAATGGCACACAACAACAATAGTCAAACTTAGGTCAGTCATAAAAAAAGACTGGACTCACATCTTGTCTTCAAGTGGGTTATAGTATCTTAGGAGGAACAGCCACATAAGCAGGAATTAAAACTCAGTGTACAGGGACTTATGAGTACAAAGAGTTATTGTTATGTGCTGTTGAGTCAACTACGACTCATAGCAACCCTATGAACAATGTCTCTGAACCCTGTCCTATCTTACTTACACACCTACCCCAATTACTGTGTCAATCCACCTCATCTAAGGTCTTCCTCTCCTGCTCTAACCCTTTAACCTTCCCAGCATGACATTCTTCTCCAATGACTGGTCCCTCCTGGCAACATGCCCAAAGGATGTGAGACTGAGCTTCACAATCTTTGCCTCCAAAGAGCAGCCTGGTTTCACTTTCACTAGGACAAACCTATTTGTTCTCTTGGCAGTCCATATTATGTTCAATATTCTTCTCCAGCACAACTTAAAGGCATGGATTCTTCTTCAGTCATCCTGAGTCACTGTCCAGCTCTCTGATATGTTAGCAAGTGATGCAGTACCTCCACGGCATCAGAAGTCAAGAAATCACAAGACATCTTTTTGCACTGGGAAAATCTGCTGTCAAGGTCTTCTCCAAGGTACTAAGGAGCAACAATGTCAGTTTAAAGACTCAAGTGCACTTGATTCAAACCATGGACTTTTCAATTACTTGCTATGCATCTGACAATTAGAAAATTAGTAAGAAAGACAAAGGAAAAGTTGATGCCTTTGAGTTATGGTGTTTAAGAAGAGCAGGAGAGGCATCCACTTCCTAAACAACTTGCCTCTGGAAACACTATGAACTTTGATAAATGTCGATAGTTGCAGAGGAGCTTCAGGCCTTTTGTTCCTAGGGTCGCTATGAGTCGTGCTTGAAGGCAATCAACAACAACAGCAACTGAATACCGATATACTGACAAAAGAACAAGTATGTCTTGGAAAAGGTGCAAATAGGGTACTCCTTAGAGGCAAGGATTGTGAAACTGCATTTCATATACTTTGGGCATGTTGTCAGGAGGAGGAACCAGTCCCTGGAGAAAGACTTCATGCTGGGAAAGGTGGAGGATCAGAGAGAGAGAGGGAGGCCCTCGGCAAGATGGACTGACTCAGTGACTGTAACAATGGACTCCAGCATATCAGAGATGATGAGAATGGCACAGGGGAGGACAAGGTTCAGTTCCATTGCTCATAGGGCCATTATGAGTTGATTCAATGCCACCTAACAACAACAAGTGGTTTATCATTAAGGGGTTTCTGGAAAAGATGCCTTATGAATCTAGCATCTTGACTATATCCCAAATAGCCCATGTAATGGATTTATTTTATCACTGAACTCTAGTGGCCTTGTGGTAAGAAGCTGTGCTGCAACTCCAAAGGTATGCAGTCCGAATCCACCAGTTGCACCACAGAGGAAGGATGGGTGATCTCCTCCTGTTCAATTAACTGCCTCTGAAAACCCACTTAAAGGTCAGCTAGTGGTTGGTCTGAATTGACAGTACACAACAACAACAAACTATGAACAGTGCTCGCTTTGGCAGCACTTCTATTAAAATTGGAATGATACAGAGAAGATAAGCATGGCCCCTGCACAAGGATGACACGCAAATTCATTAAATAAACTATGAATAAACTCTGGTGGCCTAGTAGTAAGAAGTCGTGCTACAATCCCAAAGGCAAGTGGTTCAAATCCACCAGCTACTGCTGGGGGACAGATGGGTAAGCTCCTCCAGTGCAATTAACTGACTCTAAAAACCTGCTGGAAGGTCAGCTATGATTTGGTTCCAACCTGAGGGCACACAACAACAACAACAACAACAGCAACAATCACCAACTATGGAGATTCTCCATAAATGCTCCGAAGCTTATTGTGGGCCTTTGGAAACAGAAATGACTTTTATCCCTCAGCTCCTTCATGAATTGTTAAGTAGTTCTATTTAGAGTGAGCAGAGAGGGCTTCTGGATGTCTTGGAAAATGCAAGCCTTTTGAATCTACAAGTCTGAGTTCACCCATTAAAACTCAACACATGTTTCATACACTCATGTCACACATATGCAACAAATATATCTTTGCTTTGATTCAATCTGGATGATCCCAGAAAAGAAAGAGTTAAACCAGGGACTGCATAATCTTCAAGTCTGGTCTTTGACCTCCCTGAGATACAAGGTGCCTTTTGCAAATGACAGCCATCTGCCTTGTAGTTCACACCACATTCTACTGCAAGATTGGCTCTGGCACTGTCTCGTGACTGTTTTACATGTGTGTGTGTGATCACTAGACTGCCAGAGTTCTGAGGCCAGCAACCATGTCCACCAGCACCAGGCTCACAGATGTGCTCTAAAATCTATGTTGCAGAATTTCAAATTTCTTATACCTAGCTGTTCTAACCATTGGTTCATTTAGCCACATTTACACCCAAGTGGCCAACTACTTGATTAAGGTAAAGGCCTTCTTGATGAGCAAGGCCTGTCCCATCCTGTGCACCAGTGAGTGATTTCTAGAGAACTAAAAGTGTGCAAGATCAGGTGCTTTATCAGGCTACTTTTTTCCTCACGTGAGGGTGCCATAATGCACAAGACTCTCGAGAAAGATGAGGCTGGACTACATAGGCAACTTTGGCTTTTTTTCTCCAACCAGAATAAGACTGTGCGGGTTATTTCCAGAGCTCACTGCCAAGCTCAGAAGCTTCTATTTTTCTCTAGGATGCTACTGACATTCCATCTTTTCCTAAACCAGAGAAATGGTTTCAGATTTTAAATGTGAAAGCAGGGAAATATATTTTGCCAAATTTAGATGCCACTTGACATGTCTGAGGTCCTTAGTTCTTAAATAACACAGACTCAAGCCATTAAGTTAATTTACTTGGCATAATGAAGTCTCTTATTTCTACAGGGAAAAATTAGAAATCATAAAACTCTTGAAGAATTTTAGATGTATCTTTTTTTAAACAAAGAACACATTTTGATGAGTTACCCCTTGCCCTTTATTGAGAGTTCTGAAAGTTACAGGAAATTCAAGAAATATTCATAGAGAGGGTGTCCAAATGGTTAGCCTTTGCTTTCAGATCAATATTTCATGCATTCTGCTCAAAGTAGGGTCCTAGATCAATGCTTCAGCTTCATCTGGGAGTCTGTGGTATTAGCCCTCTCCTCTTGAGAACAAATGAATTGGAACCTTACGAGCATGTGCCAAGGCCCCTGTGTTTTAACCAGTCTCTGGATGATTTTCATGCACGCTGAGGTTGGAGAAGTACTGCCAGGTGCTCTGTGCGGATCGGAGGGGTCAGAGAGGTGCCAGTCCAGCCCCCAGGAGCTGCCTTCCTCCCTTACCTTTGTTGTAGAGGGTTCCATCGAAGTAGTAGCTGCCTGTGTAGAAGCCAGTTGCGTGCTCAATAAGGTGCCGTGCCCACGTGTTCCCAGCTCCCGGGAAACTTGACAAGGCCACAAACACTTTGGATTTCGTGGGCAGGAACTTCCGATCAGTGCAGCGAGTGTCTGAAAGGGCAGATGTTGCTTCAAGGTTACTGAGCTCCGTTGTGATGGATTCATGGCTGGAGTTTCCTAAACAGGAACCCCTGGATCTAGATTTCTATCTAATATTGAGACCCAAGGACGGATAGAGATCTTATGCCGCCTGTACCTGGCTGCATAGGTTCATGAATACTCAGAGAGAGCCTGAGTACCTTCTAAGCCCTGTAAAGAAGTGGGGGAATCAGGCCCTGTGAACCCTCAGCCCCTAGTCTATCTCCATGAACACAGTCAAGATCTGGTTCCCCAAATTTCTACAGAGGAAGTGGGTGGGACTGTGGCTGACCTGTCCACCACCATATGCCCAGTACACCAAGACTCATTTAGGCAGAAAACCTCTCCACACCTCATCTTCTCTCCCTCAGGACAGATGCAAGGAGTATGGTAATCACAGGGGGAGCCCTAAAGTACCCCGAGCTGTGTCTGGTCACTGCCCCGCACCTGTTCTTCTCATCAGTTCCTGAGGTCAGTTAGGGCAGGCCTGGCTTGTCACCAAAGAGGAAGTCCAGGACCACAGCCAGAGGCTTGAATGGTCCTGAGTCTGGATGCTGATGTCTAAGAGGCTCTTGTGGCCATAGGGGCCAATTTCTCTGGTTTCTACCTGTGCACCATCCCCATTGCTTTCCCATCTCTCTGGTCTCCACCTCTCTCTGCATCCAAAGACATTCAGGTAAAGCGTGAGGTGCTCTTCAAATGGGACGTGAAGGACTTGCGCTCTACAGGTATCCTATACACACTCAGCTAGGACTGGACGCTCCAAATCCTAAAAGCTCTTCCCTAACTCCAAGTCCAAATGTCCAATTAGTGGTGGCTGCAGGGAGGAGAGCCCTGCTTGTCCACCTCTGGGGAGAGCTTACCTTGCACAGGCGTCTGGTAGACCTTACAGTAACCCCCTAGTCTCTGTGCCTCAGGCTCCTGGCTGCAGAGTGAGCCATCCACTGAATCCCGTAGGTCGAACTGGGGTGTGGGGTAAGCACAGTAGCATTCCCAGCCCCGAAGGATGGCCAAGGGGAACTCCTGCCAAGGAAGGGACAGAAGGAAGAGAGCACCATGGGTGATCCAGGGGACTGTGCCTTCCACACCACCCTTCCCTCACCTGGCCCTGTTCCCCCTCCTAGGAGAGACGGAGCTCGATCAGACATAACTTCTACCCTTAGGAGGTCACAAGTCAGTTGGACTGTCCAGTAAACAGTCACAGCACACATGTGAATGGTGCCGTGCCAGAGCTATGCTGCCAGAATTTCAAAGTCAGCAGGGAGAGCCAACGGAGGCAGATTTCAAGAGAGCTTCTAGACTAAGATGAGGAAGAAAGGGCTGGTAATCTATTTCTGAAAACCAGCCAATGAAAATACCACGGAATACAACAAACATTGCCCCAACTAGTGCTAGGAGATGAGGCCTCTAGGTTGGACGTTTCAACAGTGGTTGGAGCTGGGCATGCCAGGGAAGATGGTGCAGCGCTGGCCAAGATATTGTTCTGTCAAACCTGGGCTCACTGGGAGTTGGCACTGACTTGATGATGAACAACAAAAAAGGGAAATCGAACCCACTCTGCTTGTTTGTTGTTAGGAGGCCAGGCACATAGTAGGTCCTTTAACAGAGTCGTGGACCTCTTCAGCCCCCTTATCCCACAGGCATCAGACATAGCTTGCTCAAAACTCACTCACTCACCAGCCCACAAACATTTCTGAAGAAAAATTTAAGTACTTGGCTTCTAGCTCAAAAGTTGGTGGTTCAAATCCACCCAGTGGCTCCACTGGAGAAAGGACCAGGTGACCTGCTCCTGTAAAGATTATGGCCGAGAACACTCTCTATGCACTGACTCAAAATGACCCTCCACTGAGCTGGTGACATTGTGAATTTTCATAGAAGGAGATCAGCCATATTTCTCCCATGGAGCGGCTGATGGATTTGAACTGCTGAACTTCCTTCCGTTAAACACAATGCCACGAGGTTCTCGCTAGAAGACATTATGGAGCACTTCAACTCTGTCACCTGGGATCTTAATGAACTGATTCTCTGACATACAGCAACAATAACAAGCTGGGACCCAGCTCCAGGCAGACTCTGGCCCCATTTCATCTCATGACTCTCACACTAGAAGGTGCCCCGTAGGGAGGGAAAGATGAGAGCTTGGTGGGGACAAGTGTGCACACAGGGGCAGGGAGGCAGCGGGAGGAGCAAACTTCTCACTGTGAAGGGAGACACTGTGCAAATATTTTTCTCGCCCCCCCAAGCAAAAAGCTCATAAAGAAATAAATTTTTAAAAAGGCAATCCTTAGTGTTTTCTGAGAGTGGCTTGGCAAAACCGAGGCGCTTGACACTCTGAGAACACAATAGCTGAGAGCGGGTGGTGAGAGCCTGAGGGGTGGTCTGAGAACGAAAGGGGGAGAAGGGCTGACGGAGGCTGTTCCTGTAAGTATAGACAGGTCCCTCAAGAGCCTCTCCCACCGCCCACATCCTTCTAGGGATTCCAGGCTTCAGGGCAGCCTTACCCCCTCAGGAGTTTTCCGAGGATCTAGCCCCACATCTCTCCCACAGGGCTCAAGTGCTCTGGGGTGAGGAGAGGAGCTGATTCATTACTCTTACACGACACACACACTCATGCTGCACTCTACCTTTCTAGAATTCAATGCATCCTTTTGCCCTAAGAACACCCTTGCATTTAACATTCATAAGACCATGCATGCTCCAGGTCCATACGCAAGTTGTTTCTCCTTTGGAGTCCCCAGTTTCTCCATCTGCACAATGGACAGAGTTCCTGGGTCTGCCTGCCTGGAAGTCAAAGGACCTAATTTTTCTCTAGGCCTCCCCATGTCCCCACCCCAAGCATTAGCGGGACTAGGAAATTTACCCCTACATTTTCTCTGGAAGAGGCTCATGACTCCCAATTTTCCAAGGATGGAGGATAGTGTAATCAGGGTATGGGTGTCCGTGAGCTCTGTTCCAGTAATATCAATGAACAACCACACTGTGTTAAGAGAAAGTGGCAGGTTTATATAATTCAGCAGACCTGGATGCAAAGGTAAATGCCATAATTCAAACACTGAGTAACCCTGGGCTCGTCATCTCTTGCCCCAAGCCTCAATTTCATCATCTACAACAAGGCATAATAATGTTTACCTTGTAAGCATTTCAAGGAGACTACATGTAAAGGGTTCAGTCTATAAAATAGGCCCACTGACTCTACTGTGACTCACAGTAACCCTAATGGACAGAGCAGAACTGTCCCACAGAGTCTGAAAGGTGTTCACTTCTTATGGAAACAGATTCCTCTTTCTTCCAAGAAGCTGCTGGTGGGTTTGAACTACCAACTTTGAGGTTAGCAGCCAAGCATTTTAAACACTGTGCTACGAGGTCTTTTTCTCTCATTGCCATTTAGATGGGACTGGCTCATAGCTGACCCTCCAGCAGGTTTTCAGAAGCTGTAAACTGCACAGGAGTGTGGATTCAAACTGCCAGGGAGGTGCCACCTTTGTGTTAGTAGCACATCTCCCTACAGACTACGCCACTGGAGCTCTTTAGTCCACATAGTAAGTGCTCATCTACTCTCTTCATTTTCTCTCTCAAGACCTTTCACTGTATTTTGGGAGCAGGTCTGAGGCTACTCTCCTCAGATAGAGCGATGTTCTAAAATCTTTCACCCTGGCCACCTCTGAGCTCTGATGCTCACATTGAACAAAGGTCTGATGCCTTCCTCCAGTGGCCACTCACAGTCCTTCCAACTGGGGAAAGAGAAGAACTGCTTTGAAGACTCAGCTGCCACCTCGCATTTGTTAGCCCTGGCTCCAGCCACTCTCAACTACAGTAACTTCCCAAACGGAGGGCCACCGTTACTGACTGATCACTTGGGAGGAACTAGGCAAAAAGTTGGTAAGTCATGTCAGTCTCTCTGCCCCTCAACTGGACTCTTCTTCTCACTGACTCTCAGGCCAATGCTCAGCAGGAAACAAAAATCTATGACTTGACCCCTATCAGAACCCTGCTGGCTTTTCTGGAAACAGGTTCCCCTGCTGATGTGAGAGAGAGGAAAACGATTATGAGAACTGCAACCCCTGGCCCCTGCCATCACCATCCATCCTCTCCAGCGAGCCCTCAGCAACCACCCTCTGGGCCAGGCAGAGAGCTACAGAGGAAGGCAGGAACATGCAGCCAGCCTGTCCCCTGCAGCAATGCAGCCTGTCTAAGCCACTGACGTGTCTGTCACATCAGAATTCATCTAAATGGAATCATACAATACATATTTGGCTTTGTATCTGATGTCTTCCATTTGTTGTTGCTGTTGTTGTGTGCTATCGAGTTGGAATGACCCATGGCTGACCCTCCAGAGGGTTTTCAGAGGCCGTTAAACATACAGGAGGAGACTGCCCATCCTTCTCCTGCAGTCTTCTATTTAGGAAAAAAAATGAAATTCCTGCACGCTCACATATCTGTATTGTTCTGTGTTGTTGCTGAATCATGTCCCCACATGGAGATGGACGACACATGCTGGTCCACTCCTCACCTGTTGGTGGACATGTACACGCTGTCCCCAGTTTAGCTCTTACAAATAAAGCAACGGTAAACATTCTTGTAAAGACTTCGGCATGTTTTCATTTGGACTTGATGTTGTCGCTACGTGCCTTTGAGCCAAATGCAATTCATGGAGACCCTGTGAACAATACCTTGACCTATCCTGTGCCATTGTCACCATCTCTGATATGTTGGAGCCCACTGTTACAGTCACTGTAACAGTGAAAACAGTCATCTTTTCCTCTGTTCATTCCCAGAATGATCTCTTTTTTCCAAAGACTGGACCCTCTGGAAAACATGCCCAAAGTATGCGAGACTAAATTTCATCACTCTTGCCACAGAGGAGCACATTGGTTGTACTTCCTCCAGGCTAGATTTCTTTGTTCTTCTGGCAGTCCACGAGATATTCGGTACTCTTCACCAACAATACTAGTTAATGGCATAGATTCTTCTGCCATCCTTATTCACTGTCTGACTTTCAGATCCAAAGGAAGCAACTGAAAATACCATGGCTTGAATCAGGAGGACTTTTCATTTTTAAACTGACAAAATTGTTGTTGCTCTTTGTGTACCATAGAGTCAGAACCGACCCACAGCTGACCCTCCAGCGGCAGTTAATCACACCAGAGGAGACTGTCCACCCTTCTCCTGCGGAGCAGCTGGTGGCCTCGAACTGCGTGCCTTCAGGACTGCAGTGCAGCTTTTTGCCACAGAGCCACCAGAGCATAATTAGACTACATCAATATCTACAGGTACTTCCAGTTCCTGCTTCACTTTTCTCTACACAGCACACTTGGTATTTTATTTATCTTTCTATATTTGTTGTCTGTTTCTCTCCTCCAAGACGTCAGCAGGGGTTTCTGTGTATTTTGCTCACAGTGGGCCCTCAGAGCCTAGATCAGAGCCTGGCACATGGCAGATGCACAATAAACATTTGATGAACTAGTGAATAAATGAACACATGAGAGTCCTATCTAGGTCCCAAATCCCTCCAGAGCTGCTGGCATGTCTGAGCCTTCTGCTGGCCTGGTGGTGCGTAAGCTCCAGTTTAAGGTATGGGCAGAAACCCCATGACATGTAAGCCAGGGTTCCCAACGTGAGGGCTTTGCTGTCCTGACATCCTGTTTGTAGGAAGACCTTTCACCAACAGGACATACTGCCCCTGCCTCCCTTCTCAGCGGCAACAAGAATGCAATGCTGACAACTCTCACTCGATCCTATATCCCCGGGCTGAGGGAGCAGGCTGCCCCCACCAGTGACCCGAACCTTTTTGTTTCCTTGAGTGGATCAAACTGTTCTGTTTCTGGGTGTTTGTGGAACGACAGGAGAACTGCAGACAGTAATGTGGTTTTATTTACAACATAACCGCTTCAGCAACATCACTAGATGCTGAAAACACAGAACAATTTTCAGCCCCTTGGGGATTTCTAGGACATGATTTCCATAAAAATTAAATATTGATGAATCTTATCTCTCTGCCGACTTAGCGGCTCCTGAGTGCCACC